GTGTGTGTGTGTGTGTGTGTGTGTGTGTGTGTGTGTGCATTAGTGAGTGTGTCTGCATTAGTGAGTGTGTGTGTGTGCATAAGTGAGTGTGAGTGCGCATTAGTGTGTGTGTGAGTGCGCATTAGTGAGTGTGAGTGTGTGTGTGTGTGTGTGAAGTGACTCACACTGTATTCCACTTTTGATCATAGCTCAGGATCTCTGTGACCTCCCAGGTCCCAGAGGTCAGGTGTTGCATGCTGACCTCTTCACCTTCAGGCTGAAAGCAGGAGAGGTTAAAGTCAGATCCGTGTGAATTGTGTTTGTTTTCTGTGTGGCTCGTGTGCTTTATACCTGCTCTGACATCATAGTAAGGTGTCTAAAGGATCCGCGGCCTCCGCTTCTGAGGGGCAATGTCACGAAAAACGTTTCTCCGTCTTTAGAGAAAGATGGTTTTTCATTCTGGACCAATCAAATGAGAACATCAGATCACTTCAAATTAATGTCCCGTCGAATGTAAATAAATGTGGCAAAATCTAAAATAGCGTAATCTTACCTGTCTGTCAATCCATTTGTCCGATATCATGACGTGCTTCTGCAGAGAGAGACCAAAACAGCGTGTTTGCATACGTTGTACATAAGTGTGAGTGTGTGTTTGTGTGTGTGTGTGTCAGGGTTGTGTGCCATTCAGAACGGAATTGATATTCCAATTCAACTCCTGAATTTGAATTGAGGTTACAACCAGGATTATGCGCAATATGGCAGAAAACGTCCTGCCTTGTCAATTAAAGAGCCTTTTCTGTATTTCCCCATTTAATAGTTCAGAGCTGGACTTGCATGAGCAAAATAGCTGCCCAGAGACGTCGCCAATATGACTGCCAAGAGAATTGACTCTCCTTGAAATGGACTTTGACAGAAAGACAGAAGAACATTTAATTTCCAAGAATGCGCTTGTTTTGAATTTCCTTAAATTGCAATTCAGTAAATTCCTGTTATTCCAGTTAAACTTCTTGTAGCTAGTTCAATTCAAATGCACACTGATGAAGGAGACTCACCGCCACACATTTCCCCGTGTGTGTGTAGCAGAGTGTGAGAATGGAGGAGTTCTGAGGACGGTTTAACCAGCGTACAGCAAGACACTCGTCCGTCACCCACTGCACCATGCTGATGTAGAGATCACTGCACACACACACACACACACA